AGCACCTAGGAGGATACGGCCAAGGGAAACCGTAGGAATCGTTGCCCGCATCGGCGATTTCCTCGCGCGCCGTTGTATGCGCAACAATAGGCGGAAACGTCGGCAGTTACAAAAGGAGCATCGGGAGAAAAGGGAGAAAGAAGGGAACCCGGCTGGCTGGTCGGTCGCGCCGGTAGCGCGGGGGCGATAAAGAATCGAGCCAAATCAAAGGTCCGTAGAGAGACGTTAAGGCTGCTGTCTCTCCGGCAGATGGTATAGACTGTGAGAGATCGCCCTGAGATAGTTACGGTGCCTGATTAATGCAGGTGGAGATACTCATGGACACGCGCGTGCGCGTGCGCGCCCGTGTGTGTGTGTGTGTGTGTGTGTGTGTGTGTGCGCGCGCGCGTGTATGCATCGGTCGTGAATGCGCCAGGAGCGAGTCGCTTGAGAAAGACGTTGTATCAAGCTTCGTATCGCAAATCCGATCCATTATCGCGGTGTATTCTGATATTACCCGTCCTACGTCAGATCCATATTGAAACGTGTCAGGTCCACTTGCCGTAATATTTTGCCCGTAACGGTGCTCGATGTAAATTAGACGTTAAAATATAGTCGTTTATCGCGCTCTATCATTAGCTCGAAAGAACAAGACAGAATCGATCGATGAGTTTTATTCCGAGAAGAGGAAGTTTCAACCGCGATCGATATACACACCATTAAGATCGATAATTAATGATCGAAACGAAATCGGAAATGACGATTAGCGGCCTCTTTTCGAGGCCGAGAAAATAAAAGGAGCGATCAAAGGCAAAGCAAGTGAAATATTCGTATCTTTCGTATTGGAATTTTTTCGAATGTGATCTTCATTTTCGCTCTCTCCAGCTACCTATTGTACATCCGGACGTGAGATTGTTCCGATTGTTCAATCTGATGCATTGAGACCTTAGCAAAAAAGCGTGGGAGGCCCGTGACAGAGCCCGTGAGCGATGTTGCTCGATTACCATAATAATCTCGTGTCGTCGTGTTCGCCGCGTGTTGCGACTCGAGAGGTCGACTGCCGTGAACGAACGCGATGCACTTCGAGATGCAGCGCGAAGTGCCCGAGCACCATGTCGATTTCACTCGACAATCCACGTACTTCTACTTCTACTTCAGACCCTCTACTCCCCCCCCCCCCTTTATTCGAGACGGACGAGCACTCGAGTGCTATTGTCCAGGTAAGTTTGCAT